CAAACATTGCAAATGGTGGAAGATAAAATTTCATTTCCAAGTTCCATAAAATTATTGCCAAATCAAACAGGGCCTTAATCAGGCTTCCTTGACTAAAATAGCACTCGTCTTTCTGTAAAAATCAATGAAGTGACAGAAATGAAAATGACCACATATATTTTACATTTTTCATGTAATAATACTATTTGTGCCACTTATTTTAATGTACTTGTAACTATCTGTACCTAGCCTGTGTTATTTATAGTTGATGGAGATCATAAATAGACATCGGGTTAGGGACGGGCTCGGTGGATGTGACTCGTCGAGCCACGGGCCGAAACGGCCTGTACTGCCGCCCTTTTTTTTAAAGAAAATTAAGGGTCCGTTTGATTACAAATGTGGAAAATGGGTATAAAGAAAATGTTTTACAGGAAATTGATTTGTTTATAAATTATTTTATTGAAAATTGTAATTAATTGTGTTTGATTAATGTAATTTTTCATGGAAAATGTTGAAAGTTTCGTGTCCGTTTGGCTTCTTTTTTATAAAAATTATCCGATAAAATGATAATATTTTTTACCATTGGGTCTGAAATTTGTTCCAATTGCAAAAAAAATAAATAAAAAAAATAAAAAAAAAATTGAAAAAAAAATATCGAATAACATTCGTTTGGCTTTGTTTTGTATGGAAATTGTCAATAAAAGTGAATTTTTTTTTACCGAGCCTCTTTTTTTGGTCGAACTTTTGCTCGGCTCGGGGCAAAAAAAAGTTTGGCCCTTTTTGGGCCGAGCTTCGAGTTTCGGCTCGTTGCCATTACTACATCGGGCAAAACCTGACTTTGCAATGTGGTCATTTTGACTTTGTGACTAATTTTACCTTCTAGCTCGAGATGATTGACACATGTTTCCCTCGATGATTGGCAACAGCCCATAAATTTGTTTGTAAATAGAGATCTAGTACAACGTGAGGAGACATTTTTCTAGATCATTATACACACATACTTCTCATACCTAATCTTCATACGAATTCATCAAAATCATTACTCCGAGGAGACGTCCGACGACACAATTTCGTGATTAACATCCCATGGGTTCTTTTAATTGACACATATAGAAGTATATTGAGTCCCATTTTTTATTTTTTCCAAAAAATACATTTTACAATAGTGTTGCGATAGAGAATGTGTGATAAAAAAAAATGGATTTGCCTGTAATATTATGTTATTGAATGATGTGTGATTGATATGAGGTTAAATCATTGTTCACGAATGTATTTTGATGAAATAAATGAGGCTCAGACACATGCATAGTTAAGTGTTATTCGTTGATTTTGGCTAGTTATGCCTATTAAAATGAGAATAACATACATACTAATGGCGTACTTTCATAATAAGATTCTTGTGGCTTTAACCACCTATGCTTCTCTCATACTTGGCCAATCCCTCGCGACTTGTCATATGATTTTGTCAATATAACATAGGTGAGTTGGTTTGTACTTCACTATAAACCAATTTCTAAAAGGCGTAATGCATTGCGAGATATCGAGTTCGAGAATCAAGAATCACAATTTTAGACGTATCAATGCGAAGAATAAGCGTCATAATGCATTTTGTATTTTTAATATTATTTTAATTATTTTTAAGGTATTAAATATATTTTTTAACATATCATTAAAAAAATTTACCAAAAAAAAAAAAGGATTAGGTGGCATAATGCGCACACCTAGGTGGCTCATTATGCCGCTTTTTAGAACAGAAACGCATTTTTTGCGCATATCCCAAATTCGACGTGTTTTTCACCCGCATCGCGCCTAGGCGAACATAGGCGGCGCATTTTCGCGCATTTTAGAACATGGCTATAAACCTCGACACGAAATCTCATATTAAGACAAACAATATTAACATATTCGAATAAATCGTAAAAAATTAAAGTTAAGCATACATATTTCTCATCAGATTTTAAGCATAAATTGTAAATTGACATATTTCCAAATAATTATGTCATAAACAGAAAAATATATCCAAATCTCAATCAAATTCATCCAACTAAAACATTACTGAAATCAAAACCAAACGAAAACTTCATCATGACAGTTAGTCTATTCCTTACATTAATTTAAATCAAACCTTCAACAGTATACAAATTTGTATATATGAATTTCAAAAATCCCCTCTCTCCCCCTTCTTACACACAAATTTAGTTCTTCCATTCGAACTCTCTATAAATGAATAATAAGAAATATATAAACATTGTTTCGCGCAGGTTGTCGCTAACAATTAAAAATGGATTCAGACGATTGTGTAAGGAACATACCTCTTGAGACAAAGTCCCAAAAAGGGGAGTTTTATTGACGATGATTTACAATTGGAAATAAACAGAATGCCTCCAAGAGACGCAAGCACACGCATGGACGGACCCAATGGGGGGTCCTGGGGGCAGGTGCCCCCCCAACTTTTGAGATTCAATTTTTTTTTTTTAAATCACGTTTGTTATCGATTGAAATTTAAATTTTAATCTAAATCAAAGTTAACAATTAATTTTAAAAACATATTTTCATGAAATTCATAACTATTTAATTTGTACCCAAATTTACTAAAAATTTGATTTTAATCTCCACCAAACAGGAGTAAAATAAAAATAAATTTGAATTTCGAAATATACAAATTTTAAAAATTCTCCGACAATCGTACGCTAATCGAATCTACAAATTATTTGTATCATTTCAAAACTTATTTCAAGAATTACATTATGGACATATCGAATAGTTCAAATATATATCGAAAACAGTTAAAAATACGTTAAACGTGAACCTTTAAAAAGACGTCTAACTCGCATTTTTTTAAACAAAAAATCAATTATTTCATTAACATTTATTATTTTTGCGATACAAATTTCTCAATGTAATTTTCATCATTTTATTAGGAAATTTTTTTACATTTGAAAAAGTTATATCTCATGTAAATTTTTAGATGTAAAATTACACGGAGTATAATTTTTTTGGACGTAAATTTTCGATTGTAAAAATTCTACCAACTTCTTTACAAGTTCGATTGTGCCCCCCAAAGTTAAAGTTCTGTGTTCGCCCCTGAGCACACGGGTACTAAAAGAAGTGTTTAAAGTTAAACTAAGAAATTGAAATTTATATTCTCTATTTAGAGTGTTTGATTCGGAATCCTTTTCTCTATATCTTTTCTTCCTTTTTATACTTCATTGATAATTCATTCATGACAAACCGTTTGGAAACTGCTTGATTGTTCTATAACTACTTACTTTCTTCATGATGGCTAACTTGTCATGGAACCGCTGTCTATAATTGTTGCCATTACTCTCGCCGTTCAACCGTCTACAACTGTGATTCCTGGATCGTGGGGTGTGATAAGGTTGCTCAATAACCGCTGCTTTGGATAAACATAATACTTCATGTTTGCTAAGATTCTAGGCGATTCGAAAGTTTGGGTGAGAATAGGCTCATTCACTATGGGCTATTTTAAGGCACTTAACTCGCTCAGATCTTGGACGTCTTGCAAGCTTGGGCAATGATGGTACCGTGTTCGTGGGTCTCCATTGCATTCATTACTGGTCCTATTTGGGCCTTCATCCTGAGCTTCTTAACTGAGTTTCATCATTTGGACCACTCGATTTTGGCTACACTTTTTGTATGTCAACAAACATAGATACCAAATATTCAAGTAAAGGTTTAGAAAAATGCAAATCATCGTAGTTGTTCGGAGATTTGACCACCAAAAGCCTCAGCAAAACAGTGCCGAGAGAACTAGCCAACAATGTACAGAAGATCCAGAAAATCACCAAGAATATATAGATTTGTACAAGAAAATTTCAAATCTATAGTTTAAATTTCTCCACCAAATGTCGATTTTGTTACCGAGAAAAGCCACCAAAGGCTACAAAAAAAAAAAAAAGATAAAAAAGAAGAAGATCTAGGGTTTTAAAATTTCAAGTCGAACCAGATTAAGCCTTCTAAGAATGAAAATTAATTTTTCAGTCAAATCACTAGGTGGGTTTTTGAAAATTTTGATGTAAGTCCGCACATCTTTACCGCCCTCATCGTTTACCCATTCACGGAAGTTATAATTAGAACAATAGAGAGAGCGAGAGGACTTACCAGTGTTTTTGGAGGTCAGATCTGGGCGAGAAGAAGAATGGTCTACTACAGCGCGCTGCTTCAAAGTTTCAAAAAAAATAGGGTTGGTCGATTTGAAAGGATTTGAAGTGAACCGATCGACACATAATAATTTTAAAATTGTTTCACCCGATCCGACCCAAAATAATTTTAAAACCGACCCGACCCGACCCAATACGAGTCGGGTCGGTTTAATGGGCTGCGATTTTTTTGGCCTAATCCTACTTCTCAATAACCTTCGATCTCTTATTTGAATAATTTACTTTTGCTTCACTTTCAAATAAAGTCTATGTTTGAAGGAGATTAAAATCAAATTTTTAATAGATTTCGATAAAATTTAATAAAATGTTTGATTGAAAGTTGTGGAATATACAAGATATGTGATTAAAATTAACTGTTAATTTTAACTTATATTAAAATTAAAATTAAAATTAAACAGGGAGCAAAATATTTACTAATTTAAACATAAGTAGTGGTTTTGAAAGATGTGCGGTTAAAAGTAAGTAAAATTTTTGAGTTGCATACGTTATGTAAAGATAGAATTGAATGGGTTATAATTATTATGGTCCCGTTTGATTTGCATTATTATCTCATTAAAATGTAAAATATGATCGTTATTCATCACATCAACATTTAAATTCAAATTTTCTATCTCTTATATGAGCTCCAACAACGACTATATTTTTCATTTTCATTCTACAATAATTTGACTCAAAGAGGGCTTATATGCCTAAGTTCAACTCAATTACTTGTTTTTAAATTTTACCTCAAAAAAATAACTTATTAAACTGTAAACCCAGACTGCCTAAACTGAAACCTCCAGCAAAACCCTTACCCCGCCACAACCAGCAGCATTGATTCAAGCTTCCTACCTGATGATGATGATGCGTTTCTACAGTACTTCCTTAGCAGAAAAGCCAGATTCCATGTCTGAAACTCAACATGAAAACGAAGAATACGAAGGAGAAGAGGAGGAGGAGGAATTATCATGGTCATCAGATTCCGAAATAGGGGAAGCTTTGGATTTTTTGGATTCAAGGGACGATACAGAAGGTGGATTAATGGATGGAGGCACATTCACTCTGCTCCACACCAGGAGACCCAATGCCCATGGTGGACTCCAGTCTCGCCCCAACACTTCTTCTTTCCAGCCCATCTCTAATAAATCCCAGAAGTTGGCCAATCGCATCAGAGCCTCTCCCTTGGAGGTACGAATGGATAAATTTATACGATTTTTGTGATTCATTTTTTAAAAAAAGATTGAACTTCGCAATCACGAATTTTAGAGAGAATGGTTGAATGTTATGAATTTAAACTTTATGATATCATTCGTATGATTCTGAAATGGCTGTATCTGCAATGTTACTTAAATACAAAAAGCTTTCAAGTCATGAATATCGGACTGTGTAACATGAGTTATTGTGGTATTGCAGCAAGTTGTTACTACTTGATGGTGATTTAAAATATTGGTTTTGAATCTTCTACACTGATGGAAAACAATTTGAAGTTTTCGAATTTATACTTTAAAACACGGATATTCATGGAATGGGAGCAAGGAGTAAGTGTAACTACTTGAGAAAAATATTAAAGACATTAAGGATATGATTTCCTATGGTAAGGAGAATTGAAAGAAATAATGAACTATGATTTTAAGTTTTAAACATTAGAATGAAATGAATTATGTTTCTGGAGCAAGTTTTTGCCACTGCAGAATTGATATTTTTGTATGACAAGATCCCAACTGCACTGGTGTTATGAAATTATGTTGCTGTTTGATATGAATAGTTGATTTTCCTCTTAATTGGTCTGTTATGCTAATGGGCTTTGAATTTGTCCATACTTTGAACTCTAAAAGAAAAGGATGGCTATGAATAGGGAAATGTAGAATATTAATTCCGCTATGTACCTTACTTTTATCATTTTCTTATCAAAAAAAAATTAATTCCGCTATGTACAAAACTTGCCACAAACTCTTCTTCCTCCTTTTTTTCCTGGGTTAAAGATGAAGAACTGCTGAAACCTGTCCACATGGCCTTCTCACATGAATCCTTTTTTTTTTTAACGAGGAACCCTGTGGACATGGCCTTCACGAAGTCTAAATATCTCTTGTATCCTTCACGGATTCTTCTTCTTTTCCTTGTTAAAGATGTAGAGCCCTGTTGACATGGCCGTCAACCCACTAGGATTACCTTCACACAGTCTAAATTTCTCTTGTAAACCACAACTACCAGTTGGTATTTATTTGCTATGCTTAATCTTTTTTCTTTCTTTTATTTTGCTCTTTTTCTCATATCACATTATCTCTTTAGATCTAAAGATAGTCTATTCTTTCTGATGTGGCACAAGTTCGACATGGGCAACATTTTTTTTAATCTGAACCCTGCTATTAGCCATATATTCAATGATTTTATGGAGATAATTTTTTGTTGAGCTTCGGAACTTCCACATCGGCTTGCAAACATAGTTGTCCTTTTTGGGTTAGTGAAAGTGCAGGCTTGAAGTGAAATTTCTATATCATTGTTTTCCACATTAACTGACATTGTTTTAAAATTTTCAATATTTCGTTCCGCAATTGAACAGTCAAAGTCTTTGTAGTTGGTTATCGTTAGTTTCAGTTTGCTTTGGGTTTTTATTCTTTTTACTTCTTAAGCAGTTCATTTGACTGTCCAAGAATGGGAAGGAAGGCTGAATATTGGTATGTCTAATTCTGTGACGACTGCAATTCGCGGAAGTGTACGAGATATGGCCATTGGTAAAACAAAAGCAACAGAAAAAGCAGACCGTGCAACTGTTGAGCAGGTGAATGACGATTAACTGATTTCTTAGATGTTTAATATCTTTATTTTTCTGTTTTAAGTTGTTCATGTGGTCTAAAATCATGATTTAGTTTCGAAGGAAGCATGCATGTTGAGTTGTTCCTTGTTATTTTTTTTTCTTGAGTTTCCTTGTTAAATAATCTCTATATGCACGCTAGCACTCAGACACAGACACGCATATGGAGTTGCCTGATTGACAAGTTTTACTAGTCTACTTCAATAATTTTGAAATCTGATTGCAATCGCACCCAGACGTTTTCTACGTATAAGTGTGAGCTTGGATATGCCACACTAAAAGCATCAATTTGATATTTGTGCTTGTATTTTATTGTTAGCATGTTAATTTGGAGTATGAATGTAAAATTAAAACTATGACCGCTATCATCATACTTAAAAATCTCATCTTACTTTCAGGCTATTGACCCTAGAACTCGTATGGTTTTATTCAAAATGCTGAATCGAGGCGTATTTAATGATATCAATGGATGCATTTCAACTGGAAAAGAAGTATGTATCTACTTCCTATATTGAAGGCTTCAATTCTCCTCCTCTTACTTATCTTTTCTCTCTCCTTTCAACAATCATTATTTCTCCATGTTACAATTTTGTACGAAATTCGCACATGTTAGAACTTTATGTAACTTGTCTTTTGGTTTATTCTTCGTTTACAGGCCAATGTTTATCATGCTACAAAATCTGATTGTCAGGAAATGGCAATCAAGGTCTACAAAACTTCAGTTCTTGTATTCAAGTATGTTGAGTGACCTTTTGGTTTTTTCAATCTATAGATAATCTTATTTGTTTTGCTACCCTGAATTCATTAAAGATATAATACTGAAGTGTAAATTCCAAAGTGATCACTGATCAGGTATTTGAAATTTGTTTCTATACACACACGATTTCCCAAAATTCACGAAATTATTAAGTTACAGGAACTTCCAATATTCGCAGGAGAGACTCATCAACTATACTATAGAATGCTTTTTGTAAATCATGTGAAACAGTCATCTTTTAGTCTCACTGTAGGAGCCTTTGTTGGAAAATAAGAACTGACAAGAGAGTTAAGGAATTAACATAGTAACCAAAAATGACTTTGATCTTTTGATGGAAAGCTAAATTGATAAGTTTTGTCAACTTCTACCAGCTCAAAGGGTACAGTGTTTATTAGCTCTCAATAATAATTATAAACATAACTCTTCCTTTTGCGTAGTCTATTTTAGCTGCATTACCAAAGGTGAAGCGCAAGATAGAGCATCTGGTGGTGTTATATTTTCTTGATTTGGTCATAGGAAAGGAAATGTAGAAGTAACTCAATAGGAAAAAAAAAAAAGAAAGGAAAATGCAATACACTTCTTTGCTGAAACATGTAACATGACAAATAAAACTGTATATTGTTAATGCCTCCACAGTACTGAAACGTATATTGTTATGCTTCCACAGTAATGTTTTATCATTAAAGCATGTAATATAGCTTTTTGTATGGAGGCAAAAGCTTTAGAACCTGGTTTAAGTAAGTGTTCTTCTACCTTATTACTCTAGTTTTTACTGTGTTCCAGCTACCTCTCATTCTTGAAGGCATAAGCCTCAATGAACTTAGCTCACTCCTGGGGTGACCTAGACTCCCTTTTTGATATTTGGTTTCTAAAGTTTGTTATTAAAGTGCAGAAATTTTGACGTGAACTCTTGTATATATGAGGAACATGATCTGTTTAGATCATAATCTTGTCTAGTGAGTAAATATTTCATTTCATAGTTATGATCACAGTTATCTTTTCTTTTATCTTATGAAATTCTTGTTCAACTCTATAAATAATTTGCTGCAAAAACAAACAAACAAACATGCTTTGCCTCTCAAAGTTCAACCTTTAAGTGGAAAAATAAGATTCACGCCAATCAATTATAAATATAAATAAAATATATAAATGGAGATAAGAAGTTTCTGGCTTGTTCTAGTGGTTCTCAATTATACCACTAATGCATCAGTTTTGTCACGTGATTTATTTTATAGCCTGAGGTCTTGCATTGTAATTGTGCTCTGGAAATGATCCGCGTACCACTATTGCTTATATCACTGCTTCAAACAACAGGGATAGAGATCGCTATGTACAAGGTGACTATCGATTTAGATATGGATACTGCAAGCACAATCCTCGAAAAATGGTTAAGACATGGGCTGAGAAAGAGATGAGGAATCTTATGAGGTAAATACCCTGTCGGCTTTATTATATATCTTGTTACCTTGCAGATATATCGTATAATTGCTTCTGATGTTCAAACTATATAGCCTTCTAATGACTTTTTCAAGTATAAGCCTTGAAACTTGTACTTATTAAGTGCAATCTTTAAACTGTGATTTGTTGAATGTTCCTGATGGGGGTGAAGCAAAAAGTTCATAGCTTTTTATTTTGGGGAAATAGTGGGATTTAAGACAGTGATTTGATGGTGTACAGTCAAGTTAAAACAATTCTTACTGGTGACTTGCAATTTGGAAAAGATGGGTGGCCATGGTCCTGTTGGTCTAAACACTATTGCCCAGTTTGGTCTCCATTATAATATATTTTTCCCTCTCCTCATTTTAACTACATATTCTCCAATAAAATAATATTACACATAAACTCAAAACTTTTCCTTCTTTTCTAGCCACACATTTTTCAAAAAAATTACTATTCCAAAATACATTATTGCCCAAAACTCGTTATAATGGATCCCAAACAGGGGCTATATTCACACTGGTTTCTATGCAACGCCGCTTTAATCAATTGACAGTCACTATAGTAGTTAATCAGGGAATTAAGTTTATATGAAGGTTTAATTTCAATAAATGTTACGAAATGATGGAGACTTGTGGGTTCTTTTAGAGCCAAAATCAGGTTGAAAGGATTATGTCAAACATATATAGGTATTATTATTGTTTCTCCGTTGTGATTCAGTTTCATTAGTTCTTGTGGGTGAACTGCAGATTAAGGGCTGCAGGAATCAGGTGTCCAGCTCCACTTCTTTTGAGGCTTCATGTTCTGGTTATGGAATTCATAGGTATTGCTTTGACGTTCTGCACAAGTATCTTTGCTTTCATTGGTTAGAAGTAATGGTGAATTTCTTTTTATCACAGGCAAGGCAGGTTGGGCTGCGCCTCGGCTCAAGGATGCTGCTTTATCTCTTGACAAGTTACGTGAAGGCTATGTGGAGGTGTGCTCACATATTTTTCTATTAGGTTGTTTATATTTTGACAACTAGTTCGATATCCAAATATAGAGAGCGGGTATGTAGACTGATGACTTGAGTTGCTTTGTATAAGCTACATTCATCTGATCATCTTATTTTAGTCTTCGATTTATTAATGCTGAAAATCCATGATGAGCATGGCTACAAGTGTAATCAAACTGATATTTATTGGTCAATGTTGTCAAAACCCGACTTATCAAAAATCACTAACTACTTTCAACTTGGGAGATTGTTAGGAAATTTGGTACACCGTTGATCTTGAATGTTGAGTTTTGCTAATAGAATTGTTATTTTCTATAGTTTCCCTCTTATATTTACAAGTCCAAAATGTTGAATTGAAATTTTATCATAAAAAGACAACCTATAGCATGAAAGTTTGATGGCAATCCTTTTAGTCTATCACCAGATCAAATTAAAAAGTTATTCAGCCTACTCCTAATGTATCCCAATTTTCACTAGGTAAAACCGTTCCACAAAGAATAACGATCTATCGGAAGGGTAGCATTGTAAACTGTCTATTATAGGCTCCATTGTAACATAACTTTCTTTTTAGTTTCAAATAAATGGGCTAACTGTCAATGGATAGCTGATGACTTGTGAAAAGGGCATAAACATTTTCTCTCTGTTTTTTATTTGTTGTTAGAATGCTCATGCACCCCTCCCAACCAAGAAAAGAGAGAGAAGTTTGAGTTTAACTGTTTTCTGTCATCTTTGCCAGATGATCATGGCCATGCGAACATTATATCAAAAGTGTAAACTGGTGCATGGAGACCTCAGCGAATATAACATACTCTATTTTGAGGTAAATCTTTATTTTCTCTGGTTCATAAAAACTGTAAAATTGACTGTGAATAATTTCTATTGAGCAGGGACACTTATACATTATTGATGTTTCGCAATCAGTTGATCTTGACCATCCACATGCCCTTGATTTCCTCCGAGAGGATTGTATTCATGTTTCAGTGAGTTTTCTCTTTTTTGTTAAATTAAGTATCAAGGTTTTCAGTTGAATTATTTATGCAAATGACTAGTGTTACGGCAATTAGTGATGTTGATTCAATTGAGCTAGTGGTGGCCTGCAGGATTTCTTTAGAAAACATGGCATAGCTGTTATGACCATTCGGGAACTGTTTGATTTTATAGTGGATCCTACGATTGATGATGATTCGGTGGACGGTTATCTTGAAGCGGTACATGTCCAAGATCTATGGTGTAATGACAAATACTTTAATCTTCATTGTAATTGCTCTCTGATTTATTACAGGTGCAACAAAAAATTTTGGCTAGGGGTGATGTGATCTCTGCGGAGGAAGAAATTGCAGATTCTGTATTTGTTCAGGTTTCAGTGGAATTCATTTTTCCCTTCTTCCTTTTTGTTCATTTGTTCTTCACCTCAGCACTATTAGTTCTTTTACATTCTCTGCAATGAACTTTCCCCAATAAATTTGGGGCCAGTGACACAAAACTTTTTTCAATGCTCTCCTCAGTAGATCTAGCAATGAACCTAGAGTGGTGAAAAAGTATGTAAAACTTAGTAGGAACATGGTTATTCTGTTGTTGGATTTTTATTTTATTCGTTTTAAGGCTTGTTTAATGATTGTCGGAATCTCATTACCTGATTATATTGTTAGCGAGTTTATGCTTGCTCAAGATCGATAATTTCTACTGAATGGTCAATTCCTGATTACCAGCAATGTGTTGGATATATTATTTTATTTATTTGAATAAAACCCACAAGTGTAATTGATGACACCGTGTTAATGATTTGGGCAAATCTTTTGTTATCTTTTTGGCTATTTGTGTTTTGTCTTTATTTCATCTGAAGCTCAAAATCTAGATATATTGTTTTAGCAAAATGATTTGATGAATGAATTATATATCTCTCAATGCTAAGTTTTGTTTGTTTTTCTAGTCGTTCATCCCAAAGACACTGGATCACGTGAAAAATGCTGAGGATGATGTGCAACGAATCACGAGTGGCAAGGATACGGAGGACATGTATTATCAGACCATTACAGGTTTGAAGCAGGCTCTTTCTATGGCCAATTCTTCTCAAGCAGAAGCAGAGCAGCATCAGGGGAACGGAAATCCAGTAAACGGGACCTCTGCTCAGGCTGCTGAACATCCTGACTCGCCATACGGAGATTCAGAGACTAGAAGCGACGAAAGTGAAAGCGGTTCAAGCGAATCAGAAGATTCATCTTCTGAAAGCAATAATAAGCAAGGGCCAGCTGACAGAAAAGTAGCCAGGAAAGAGAACAAGAAGAAAGTTAAAGAAGAGAAGAGGGAGGCTAGAAAGCATAAAGTTCCCAAAGCTGTAAAGAAGAAAAAGAAAAAGTTGGCCAAAGCCAAAAAGTATAGGTAACCAGCAGGTCGTCACCAAAGGAGCCACCTTGACCTTGAAAGTACAGAGCCCGTTTGGTAAAGATTAAAATTCAATTAAAATTGAAAATATAGTCGTTATTGGGTCTCACTCGTCTAATAAAAGTCAACAATAACGGCTAATTTTTTAATTTTAATCTCTACCGAACACGCCCTAAGTACTTGTGGTTAGGTCTGTGAATGGATCGGATTTTGATC